AACGAATGATCAAAAGAACGAACGAAAGAATAAACATAAAAACAAACGAACCAACGAACAGAATAGCGATTGAACGAATGCATGAGCGAACAAACGAACCAACTAACAAACAAATAAACGAATGATCGAAAGAACGAACAAAAGAATAAACATAAAAACAAACGAACCAACGAACAGATTAGCAATTGAACGATGCATGAGCGAACAAACGAACCAACTAACAAACAAATAAACGAACGATCGAAAGAACGAACGAAAGAATAAACATAAGAAAGAAAAAACAACAAATGAACTAACAAACGAGAGTGCGAAATAAGATGAGTTCGTATTAAACACGACATAAAGGAAAACAAACGGACAAAAAGTTAATCCACATAACAGAAAACAATGTCAGGTGACACTGCTATCGAGAAATGACAAGTGATGTTTTYCCCCCACAAACCTCTTCTGATGGTAGTAGTTGGTCTTTGAACTATTCCATCTTGGTTTCTGTGTCGTGAACCATCGATTCTGCATGATTGACAGCCTCTGTGGTTTCCTAGACAACAAGCCATGAATATTAATTGCAAATACAAACTACATCCGGGACCTGAGTAACATATTTTCCATATCTTCACTAGTGAGGATATCGATGACGTCACTTGCGATGTGACGTCACTGATATGACGATGTTTTTGTGTAGTTTTTCTTTGTGGATATGTCTATGTAATAAAAAGAAAATTACACGTTGCCTTGACGATATATAAAGTTTATCTTCTCGTGTTGAAAAATATTTCACCACTCGAAGATAAACTTCATATCTTCGCGCCACAGTGTAATATCCTTTATATACGCCTTATACTGTATGGGCTCGCTTTTAAGATTWAAAAAAATGAATTGATGAATGAATGAATGAATAGAACAATAAATAAACAAACAAACAACACTTTCTCGATGGAATTCTTGATATATWTTTTYTATTTTCATGTTTGCTTCGCATCCAATATTGAAGCGAAAGCGTAGTCAGAAGATTTAGCCAATCATAGGACCCATGCCCAGTCTCTTCAGAGCAAAGATAGCGAGGATTGCGTTYCTGCTTTTTTCCAAATAAGGCAACAACAAATGTAACGCAATACCTTCTTTTGTCTGTCACTCTCGGCATGTTTCTCGGCTTCTTTTATCATGTTTTCAATGGCATCCTTGCTCAGACCTCCAGATAACTGGATCACAACTAAAATTAATAAAAATAATAAACGTCATTTTCTGTTTTGTACGTGGAGAAATAAATGTTTGCAATGTTGGTTTTATGCATTCATTTATCAACCAACTAACTACCACCCCACCACCCCACCCACCCACCCACCTTGAATAGCCCACTACCGAGATATGCTTTGCTTCAGTACGACGCTACGAGCAAAATCGAATTTCTTCTTTTACGAATCACTGAGCATTATGCACGAAGCCTCACATTGAAATCTTTGTGCGTGACAAGCGAAGCATATCTCAGAAGTGGGCTATTGACTAGTGCATTATGGACGCCAGTTGGTTGTTTTGTACAAAATATTTGGTCTTGGTTTCTTGCCACGTCAACCAACATGGCGACTACAGTCAACTCTCGTTACAGCGGACACTGTCGGGACCGTTACTTCATGTCCGTAATAGAGCAGGTACATGTTACGCCACTGCCGAAATCTTGGTTGACGATAACAAAGCATTCCTCATTAGCTTCTCTTGTTCGATCAACCAAGATGGCAGCTGTCTCAATGTTATTCAGATCTCAAGGGATTTTGAGTCATATGGTTGCACACACTCTATAACAAGCGTCCACAATAACAATAATTAATTACGGTCATTTCTTTGTAAGTATTTTTCTCCCTAATAGCGTGGTGTCCGTAATATCGCGGTGTCCGCAAGACGAGAGGTGACTGTTTGTCTTTTGTCTTCACCATATCTAAGTTAATGGTATTCCAGTATCAATCATTTATGTACTCAAAAAGGATTCCTTTACTCACTTTGCTGTTCTCTTCCAGTTCCCTTATCACGAGCAGACACATTCACAATACCATTGGCATCGATATCAAACGTTACTTCAATCTGGGGAACTCCTCTCGGGGCTGGGGGGATTCCAACCTAAACATTAAAGAGCATAAGAACTCAATTTTCACCCAAGTATTCACAGTCTCCGAGATATGCTTCGCTTGTCACGCACAAAGGTTTTAGTGTGAGGCTACAGTACGTGCGAAATTAGATT